AAAGAATATATTTGTGGTAGATGTGCGTATGTAGCAGCGTGTGACGTAAGGAATCAGTGCAGAAGATAGTCAAGCGGTAATCAAGTGGCCGGTGAAATGACACCGATTGCGATTGTTTGAACTCCGTTATGAGGAGCACAAAGAATCGCGGAGTGCCGTTAAGAGCAAAGCCATCGACTCACCTTGCACCGATTCCTCTGCCACCTCTTTGAACATTTGAAGTTGCTTCGTGCCGGTAGACCATCTACCACAACTCGGAAGATTGATGCTTTTGTTAAATGGCTGCCACCCTAATATTATCAGATGCAATGGAATGCTAGTTAATGGGAGAGATAATAAACATTTGGATTTATTGAGAAAAATGTTCTGAATATGTTGAACATTAATTACAAATTGGGTATTACCTCACATTTTGTCACCATTTGAGGTGTGCGAAAAATGCTCATTTTAAGTAATAAAATTAGTAGTTATCATAATTGTTTCCTGGTGATATTAAAGTTTTTAATAAGTAACCATGGATACGAATGGATATTTTTATGAGTGATAGTTTATACATCACTAAAATTAGCTGCATAGCTCATGCAAAGAGTACACAATTTATTAGAAAACTGAAATCGGTTTTAATAAAACGAAATATTTATTTGCGTTAAATATTTACGTCGACGAACGTCAGCGGTTTTATTAACCTGACGGCGTATAGGTTATGATAATTGTACTCCACCACTATTATTGCTATCAAGCGTATCCTACGTACAATCATATTTTGTTCTCTACACATTGTCAGTAATTTGTAGAAATTATCAACGGAAATAACATTATTTTAACTAGCTGGTTTCTAGCGCATCGTTTCGAACGGGACGAAATTAGAAAATAGCTGAACTTGTACCAAATTTGGTTAGGTACACGATTATACTTATAAAATGTAATGTTATAGGTATCGAGCGCAATGTAATTCCCTCGTCAGTAGAATATTTGTTTTAAAGACATAAACCTAAATAAATTCACTATTATGTTACTACAAATCGTAGTAATATACTTTAGTTAATAATGTTTTAAATAGTTGTTGATTATTTGTATTTAATACAATTTATTTCAAATTTCCCATAAGAATATACAAAACAAACAAACCATATTAAAAGCACCGAAGCAATTATTAAAAATTTGTTGTTTTTTTATTCGGTTTCCGCATATTGTGTTTACAGGAAAGGAAATAAATTATATTATCACTATCATTGTTTCTGATTAGCGCTAGGAAAAATTCCATACTTCACCGATAATTAGGAGACATTATAACCAGGAAATTGACGAATGAATTTCCCGTTACAACCTACAAAAAAACCCCACCTCTAATAAATTGATTAATTACGATTTTCCCAGCGCGATCGTTGTTTGGAAACAGCGAAATTTTCCTGCGGATTCGTTACGTAACGCGTCCGAGAGCCGGCAAAGAAGAATTATATAGGTATGTCGATCGAACGAGCTGAATTACTTAAAAAGCTGCAGCATTTTTATCGCGGTGCGGTCCCCCCAATGGCACCGCGATCCGCACACGTCGCAGGAGAAATTCTCTAGAAATCGAGCAGGAAAGTGTTCGCAGGTGAAATTGTGGTGGCCGTTGGTTAAGTGTACCGCGCGTTATCTGCAAAAGGAAAGCTCATGAAATCAAGGAGTATTTTTTTGATCCAGATTTTCAAGAGCGTGTAGATGTTGCATAATCTCCGCGTCTTTTCTAGATCGAAAAAAAACAGATTTTGCACATATTTAATTAGCGTCGTTGCAAATTAAAATAAAGTAAATGGGTTTTAAGGTCGAATATATTAATAGTTTGTCGAATTGCATAGATTTTTTTTTCAGTTAAAATTTATAGGTCGAATTTGTTGTTGCGAATTTTGTTTTGTTTTTAACAAGGTTAATAAGTTTAGAGGACAAAACACAAGACGATTTTCTGTAAAAAACCGAACAATAAATAAATAGGATGCAATAAATTATTTTTATAGGATTTAATTTCAATTGTATTTTAGGTGAGAATGTAGAAAAAAATCAATTTTTTGCATTCCTAATGAATTTAAATAAATAAATTACCACTAATGGACGTATTAATTATTCTATTTGTAATTATTACAAGGTGATTCGTTATGGAAAACAAAACTCGTAAAATCTTCGATTTTTATAATACTCAATGATAATTGAAACGTACAGAAACAAAACGCTCGTATTTTTAAATCTTCCAATATTAAACTATAACATCGACAATCGATAAATTTCTAAAATTATTGCCTCCCACATCTGCGCTCGACGGTCCGAGGTCACTCAGATCGAAATTAGATTAAGTACTTTCCGATGGTATCGCGTGCGATCTACACGAGGATATGCAGCTTTGAGAGCGGCGTCGCGGCGCACCGGCGGCTTACGCTCACCGCACACCGCGTCTATTTTCAACCCAATTCGTCGAGTAAATAATAAAAAAAATATCTACTCAATCTACAGATTGTAAATAATTAATTAACGTCGAAATGGCATCAGGGCAAGTACTGTTAAAATAATTAACAATACATTATGTAAGCGGTACATCTTTGTTTCGCCAATTACTTCCTGCAAGACGGCCAATTCTAAATCATTTTATGTAGGTACTTTTGATTGGTATCTCATTTATGGCGTTCATCATTCTTGCGTCGCTCGAAGGGCTACCTGTTCGTAATTAAGATAATCCATCAACGTGCAGTATAGTACCCCGTCGCAGCAACGAGTACTATTAGTACCTGCGGTATCGAGTTATCTTGCGGAATAACTGTTTGTTTGTTTATTAAAATCGAAATGGAGCGAATGGATCGTATCTTGGATTTATGAATTTAATTTGGCGCGTGTCCCTGCTTCAGCCCATCGCTAATAAAACGAGAATATCGTTTGTTTGCGATCTCTATGGCCCATACATAGATGCCCGTTCACGTGGATATGCTAACTATGCCGTTATTATAATTAGAGATGGGACAAAATGGGGTATAAATAGATGTAGGTAAGAATTAAATTGGTTTGTCTAATTTAATTATGCGCTTATCAATATCAGATCAATCACATAATGAAAAATGCATTTTACCTATCAACAAATCGATGCAATAATTACACAGAGGGATCGCGTGTAAATAAAAACAATTTTTTAAATTAATCCTGATAAAATAATATGGTACCAATGAGACGAAATAACGATTACAGGTACCGAACACCATCTCGATATCCAAGATCGTTAACCTGCTAGTTGAAGCGTTGCCGACAGCATGAATTTTTATAATGCTTGCCGGACATTGGTCAATTATCGGTATTATACGCATCCACTAAAGTGATTTATCGTAAATCTCGTACCGGTTCTCAAACAATAATTGCAACATTTCATTGATTTCCTCGAGGAATTCGTTTGGTGTGATAACCTTTAGCTCGAGACCGGCCGAAGCAATTATTAATAATTATATTATTTGATGTCGTGAACGTTCGCATATTTTGAATATCTTTCCTATAATGCTCGGTATATTTTTACAGTTTCGAGAGGGAATAGTAGGTAATACGATTTTCGCGACACGCTGAATAATTTAATTTCGCATACAATCCGGCGCGTATTTTCGTTCGCGTTATTTTTAATTTACCCTAGAAAAATCGGTGCGATGGCGAAATAAACGGATAAGCGATTGGCTTACGCCAATTGGCACACCTTTCGCGTTTTGGGTAAACGCCACCGCTTCCTATCGCCTCGTATCGCGATCCGTGCGTACCGCTTTTGTACGATGTGTCGATAAATGTAATTGAAATTTTAAATAGAACCGGCGACGCTTGTAGAGCGAAAATGAAACTAAATTAAGTTTTCTGGGTATTGCGCCGGGAGTTGCAATTTTAGCTTTTTGACGTTCATCAAATTTTTCCAATATTCTGATTTAGTGAAACTGATCCTGCATAATAAATGGTTGCACTTACTAACCTGTCGTAAGCGAAGAAGATCCATCAAAATCTTAGAATATTTTTATCCAGATAATATTGATGACAGTATAAGTAGGTATAGAAAAATCAAAGAAAATGTTCGATTTCTTCGCAAAAGAAAACACTACTAATGCGAACTGATGACGATTTGCTTGAGTTATTATTGTTTTTTAGAAAACGTCTCTAACCTAATTTGTGTGAATTGTGTAAAATGTAAAGATTGTTAAGTGAGGTTCTCATAGACATGACGGACAAAGTGTCGAAGAGGATTGTGAGAAATCCCACGAATTTTCTACGGCCGTTGAGTACAAATCCGACGGTGGTATGTAATTATTGTTTCCACGTTATTTTAAATACATCTACCTCATGAGAATTGATATGTACGAGGTTCACAAAAATGCTTCCTCAACTCTTTAACGTTGTGATTTAATTTAGCATTTTTGAATAGATACGTTCTATAATTTGCCTTCATTAAATTTAACCTAACACAATTCATAACCTACAAATATGTTGAAAATAACCACTGAAGCAAGGAATCAAAAATTTTATACTGAAAAAAAAATGATTTTTTCATCACTAAAACAAAAATAGGTGTTGTTTGATATTGCATTTTAAATACATATCTTCTAATATAAATTTATTCATTGCAGTTTGCTATATTTATCTCTGAATAAAATATGTAAACTTTTAATCTGTTTTTTTATCCCCTTGTAGTGTTAATTAGATATCCCTGAAAATAAGTCAATTTGTTCAGATAAACCGTGAATGAACGCATTTTTTTATCCAGTCAATTTATGTATTCTCATATCCTGAGACAATGAAGAAGATATGTAGATTGTGTGAGAAAACAGCATGCTAATTATCAAGTTTTTAATTCATCTTAATACGCATATTTTGTTATGTTTTAGAGATAATCGATAAGATCAAAATAAAATTAAAACATTTTTTTATCATCCAAATTCAATAATTGACTGATGCGACGTCAACAAGAAGAAATTTCTAGCATCTAGCTTTAATATGTCAATAATGACAGTCTTAGGAAATTAAAAATGCATTTAAGTCAAAACCCAATTTTTCGGAATTAAATTTACTCCGCAATATGTATTTACATAATCTAAATTCATGTTTATCAAAGGCCTATTACTTCGAAATAAGTTGAAACCGAAACTGCTCCGGGAATGTCTAGTATGCAGGAACGTGGGATGGTTCGCCAACATACCAATGGGTGAGAAGGATCCGATTTTCGGCATCCTCGATGCTTTCCTCAACGATACCAATCCTTCTAAAGTGAATTTATCAATCGGAATATTCCGCACCGATGATAACAAACCGTTCGTTCTGGAATGCGTCCGAAAGGCCGAGAAAATAATAATTAGCAAAAATCTGGATAAAGAATATTGCGTTTTGTTGGGAGGATCGCCGGCGTTTCAAAAGCACAATTTGGACTACACCCTTGGCCCTGATTGTGAATACAACCAGCCCGGAAGGAACATTTGCTTCCAATCTCTATCAGGATGTGGCGCTTTGTCGATGGTATCCCAATTCCTATCCAGGTTTTTTCCCGGCCGGAAAGTGGTTTACATGTCTGATCCAACGTGGCCAAATCACGCGAACGTTCTCGAATCCATGGGCCTAGAAACTGCGTATCATCGTTATTACGACGCTGAAACCGTATCGCTGGATTTCTGCGGAATGATGGAAGACATTCACAAAATTCCGAAGAGGTCTATGATACTCTTCCAGTCGATTGCTCACAATCCCACCGGCTTCGACCCCACCCCCGAGCAATGGAACGAAATCGCCGAAGAGGTTAAAAAGAGGAAGTTGTATGCAATCGTGGATAATGCATATCAGGGTTTTGCCAGCGGCGACAGCGACAAAGACGCGCAATCATTCAGAATCCTAGCAAAACATCGCGTGAAATTCGCGTTATGTAACAGCTTCTCTAAAAGCTTGGGCCTCTACGGAGAACGAATAGGCTCTATTATATTCCTAACCGACTCTCAAGACGAGGTGCAACGGATATACACGCAATTTATTCCATTAACCAGGGCCAATTACCAGAATCCTCCGCTGCACGGGCGCAGAATCGTCGAGGAAGTATTCACGAACCCGGAACTTTCTAAAATTTGGAAGAAAGAAGTCGTAATGATGGCTGGTCAGTTGAAAAACGTCAGACAACTATTGGTGCAAAATCTGAAAGAAGCCGGATCGAAGAGGAATTGGGATTTTTTCACCACACAGATTGGCATGTTCTCGTATACCGGATTGAGTCCGCAGCAAATCGAACGTCTTTCAAAGGAGTTTCACATTTACATGTTGCGCTGCGGTAGACTCGCTATTCCCGGCCTAACAACCAAAAATGTTGCTTATGTAGCTAAATGTTTGCACAAAGTAACATCTGAATAAAATTTGTATTTTTGTAAAATTAGATATTATTCGGGAATTTCCCAGGCTCTGAATTACGAAAAATATATCGTGTCGGACACACCTGCTTTAGTGGTCATTGCACCAAAACAATCCGGAAACTCGCGCCCGAAATTCATCGATTCCATAACACCAATTTGCCCTTGTATTAATGTAATTGGGAGTTATTCACGCCGAAAATCGAAGGCGATTGATCCGTCTTGGCGCTACTCGGGGCGACGTTTTGTTTAGATTTTCCTCGGTTCCGACACATCGGAGATGCCAAATTTAACGCGTGTGCCGCATTCGATGCCGCCCTTCTCGTCCTCCCGAAATAGCTGGTCGGGAAGCTGCGAAGAGGGCCAGAAATAGTGCCGTGTGCGGAGGGTTACGAGATTGATTTTGATCTGCGCCTCGCCAAGTCGGTTTTCTTTTTGTGGGCATTCCTCGCCGGCGAAATGGTAGCGCATTTTTGGCATGCCTTATACACTAAAAATCGATCAATAAGTTAGTTGTACTATGTAGTGTTTAGATTAAATATTAGTTTGCGATGAAAGCGAAATTTGCTATAAAGGGCTGTACTGTTTATGAGATTAAATGGAGGGTAATCGGCGTTACCTTTCGCCCGGAAAATCCGGCAACTCGACGCGGAGCCCATACAAAGCCGCGTATCGAAAGTTTCGTGTATTTCCATTAGAGTCCCTCTCCCCTTTGCGATTCGGAATGGAATAATAAAAAAGGGATACAATGTAGATCAAGTGCGAAGAGTATTTTTCCTCTTTTTTTGTTGCGAATAAAAATATTAGATTTATTTTCCCGGGTAGTAATCTCTCGACGCGAAACTTCGCTTTTTCCGTAATAGAACCGCTGCGGATGACAGCTGGATGCTGCGGAGTATTGTGAAATTCCAGTTTTCTGGATTACCTTCCCAACCGTGGAGATATGTCGACTTGCTACATTGATCAGATAATTCCGAGGAATTCTTATTAAATCGATGAAACGAATTATATACAGGGTAGGCACAATACGTGTCTCGTCCACTGCGAGTAAGGCGCGGATTTCAAGGAGGTTACATTGTAACGATTCACTTTGTATGTACTAATTATAACGGTCTATAATAATCCATTTTGAAATAGATGAATTCATTTAGTCTCTGTTCGCGCCCGTCTATATCTATAAATATCGAAAGTATTTCAGAAACAGATGACTGTAAATATGAGGGTGTTTTAAATAGACAGCCGTGTGTATTTTGGTTTCCGGAGGTAAAAAGACGATAACGAAGAAAAGGAAGAAAATCATTTGACTTGACGGCGCATTTTCTACCGTCCCGTTTTTGAAATTTGTCATCGGTTCGTTTTCACTTGGCGAAAACAAACAATCGTCAATTCGTGGTTTGAAAAAGGCTAATGACCCACATGTAAACAAAATGTTAAAATAAAAAGTGGTGGCATATTTTTAACTTTGTTCCAGATTTATTATATTTTCGAGTCAAACTTCTATTTTAAACGACAAAATTATTCATAAATATTTTTTCGAATGCTCATTCTCGCATTTAGAAACGCGCTTCTTGAAATTTGCAAGTACTTACATCCGGTCGATCATACACGAATTTATACGAATTATTTAGTGTATTTTTTATGCATATCGTATAAGTACAACCGCGGTCTATAAATAGAATATAACCTGATTACCAGTGATAACAATTACAACACGAATTGCGAATTTCGTTTTATAAAAGCATTGAATGCACGAGGCAACATCAACAAATGTATTTCATTGTCAAAGGATATTGCGAATCACCTTACGAAAAACCGTCGTTTCGTGAAACGTAAACACTCTGTATGACCCACATTCACGCCGACAATTCTGACTTATTGTGATTTCTGTTTATCTGCGAGATTAAAGGAAAAACGCTTTGATTTTTACTCATAAATTTACTCAACTGAAAAATCGTTAACATTTACACTTCGGAATTGAGAAATTAAATAAGAGTGTTTAAATAAATTAATAATAAATTGCACAATTATTTTTGAAAACTTTTAAAGCAGTAGATGAATTGCCGCTGTAGGTACCTATGTACCTTAAGGAAAACTGTTGCTGAATTAAAATACGACCAGCCTTTACTCTATTTCGATCCGAACTAACCTTCCCCAAGATGATCGTGCGAACGAACGAGGAATCGGCGAAATCATCCAAAGGCCGTTTATTCTTACCGAGTCATGTTTGCTGGTTTTTTCAAAGAAACGACTAGTGAATAAATCATGGCAGTGGAGTGTATAAAGCGACGGCCACGATGCCAATAAATTTCGAAAAAACAGCGAAAACTATATAACAACTTAATTCCGATCGGGCGGACGTAAAATTCCCGTTATTGAGAAGCAAAGTTTTTAAATACAATATGCGTTACTCGAGGGACGAGAAAACTTTTTTGGAAAATTCGATACCATTTTTTTTATAAAAATAATTTTTATAATGGTTCGATTGGTGTCACTAATAAACCAGCGTTATTATTAAAACGGTAATCAAGCTAAATAACCTTTGAATAAAATTACCTACGTTTTTCTATAAGTGGTAATGTACACCTACGCTGGAAAAATAGGCCAGTGAATGTAAAATTGCACGATCATTGCTGTCGTAGTAAGTAGTATAGTAATATTTAGATAGTATCACTTCACCCACCCGCCGCAAATAAATCATTATTGAACATATAGCTGGACAATATTTCCTGGTAATACAAACAATACTCACAGGAAGCTTCTACTAACAATTTTTATTAACTCGTAAAATTTCCACCACTAAAATTTTGTTTAAAAAATTCAAAGGAAACTTTTACAGTGCGTTTTCGCACGAATTAAGAAGAAAGTAATTAACTAATAAATTAATCAGGTAGCAATATAAAATACCTCACCGGTATTAATTGAGTGTATAAATCATTTCTGCCTGGCACAACGACCACGGTGCATCAGCGAAACCCGTCCGCTTCGCGCGTTATTTTCAAATGATGATTAAATGTGTCAAGGTCGAAATTGTTGTCAAATTTTTTTATTGTATAAGTACTTACAAACTGTGTCAGCCTTCAAGGCCGCTGCCGTTTGTTGTCGCTGCACTAAACCTTTTTCCTCATTACGTGGCGCGGATAATGCAAATCGACCATAATTCCAGCTAAACGTTAACGTTATTGTTTACGTTAGCGAAAAAATCCAAAGTTGTAGCGCAAAATTTTCTTATTTTGCCTGCTTTTTAGCACCATCATCAACAAATTTATGAAAGATCTTGCTATTGCTGTATACGGCAAAATATTTATATTAAACAAAGCCAATAGGAGGAGGAGGATGTGTTGGAGAAGTAACTGGATAATAGTCGGGCCATGTGGGCAGAGCGCTCATCGACGGCTACAGCAGATATCTCGAAACAGAAGAAGAAACCGAAGAGACGGCAGAAGAAAAGGAGGCAGAGCGTCGTTCGTGTATCGCAATGAAGGTAAACGATTCCCGGGGAATGTGTGTAGGTACTTTGGTCGCATTAGCCGTGCGAGTCAACAGTTGAACATCGATTTATAATAGTGACAATTGATTTACTGCTCGCGTCCCGATTGGTCGAAAGGCGAAGAGCGGCGATACAAATAGACGACTGGTTATAACAGGTTCTCGACGTTCTCATTGCGCTTAGTGCACGCTATAATTCCTTTGAAATCTAAATATTATTAAACCGGGAGTCTTCATTAAGGAGCGAACGAGATGCCCATTATTAATATTTACTAACTTGGTAAATTAGGCTCGCACATTTTGCTTTTCTTTGGAATTTTCAACATAGGCGTTCGTTTAGTTTCAAGTTCCAATGAAAAATATCGCTACTGTGCACAGGAGGAAATCGAACGTGGAAAAGTTGGAGGAATTGAAATTAATTAACACAGAAAGTGTTTCAAATGGTTAAACTTAAACAACTTGTGTTTACTATTAGGTATAGTTTACGATGGAATTCGATAAATGTGACTTAAAGTGACCCGACACGTGATTGAAACGACAAGAAACAACATTCCTCAGTTTTATATGTACCCTGTAGGTACAACTTTTACGAATATTAACTAGCTATGTTTGTCTAATGTTATAGGATATAGAATACTCAGTTAACAGCTCACAGAATCCAACCACCTCTGAATTATTGACCTAGGCTCTCTTCAATCTTCCAATAAGCAGCAGTTTTTATTGGTAAACGTTCTTTGTCTATCCAATTAGAGGCGCTAAACGCGGACGGCACTGCTCCAAGAGTTTAATCGACCTTCTAATAGAGGCCGAGGAATGTAGAAAGAAGCAAGCACGAACCGGCGTTGCGACGACATTGGGAATGCCAACAGGACCTCACTGGTTAGCGGCGTAATTGTCGCCGTAACTCAAGGATAAAGACGCTCAATCGTCCATTCAATTCGTTTATTCGATATAATTGACTCAAGGTGTACGCTGGTCATCTGCTCTTAAGGGTTATGTGCATTGCTAAATTGTTATACGTGCTTATAAACACGGGTTATTATGAATAATATTTTGCTTTTGGAGGAGGTTTTTTATGAAACACTTTACCGAGTGGTGATATTTTATTTTAGGAATTATTCAAATAGTGAAATAGTGTAGTGTTGGATCGTTTCGTAAACCGAAAAACCGAAATCGACGCGATCGGAAAGCGAATTTTTAGCTTTCCGATCGCCCTGGGAAATAAATCTTTCAGCCTTCCGAGAGACTATTGACACCCATGAACTCGAGTAGTATAAAACAAATTCCGTATACCTTGTATTACTTTTTTTTTCTATTGATTAAAGCGTTCCATTACCCTGACACAGTTCCGTCTCTCTCGCTCCTTCTTTTTCTCGCCTATCGTCGAGCGAGTAAGCCTGAGATAGTTCGCTCTTTTCTATCATACTATACTTCATCGATAAATTTCCTTCGTCAGTTTAATTGGACGCGCTTCCTGTTTTTTTGCGGGCAATAATCGTTACATATTAAATACACCAAAATTTGCAGTAGCTATAATTTTATTACATTAAATAAATTTACAAATAAATATAACAAGTTTGTTGAAAAATATATCCAGGGAAAACGGAAAGTAAATTACCTGCTGCAACGCCGGCGATTTAGGTAACGATGACATCCGAGCAACAGATATTAAACCGACTATTTGTCAAACACAGAAAGTATTTTGCTGATATATTTGACAGGCGATAACGCGCGACGCTTATTATTTCGGCGTCGGCGTCGGCCGCGCGAGCATCCGCCGCGACGCTTCGGCAGCAACACCATATTTCGCCTCTAATGACTCGCGTACGAAAATTACCTACCAGAAAGACGCTGCTAATTGGCGGGTCACTTAAAATAAACCGTCGATGCTCAGTGGAGTAGATTAGAAGAAATGTTTATTTATTATGTATTTATAACACCGATGTAAATTAATACTATACGAAATTATCTATTTGTGAAAGAATTTACTGCACTTCACTGTGTAATTATTTGTAACTACTTGTTAAAATATTGTAAGCAAGACGAATCTGAGACTGTGTACAAGAAGTGTGCCTTCACTGGCAAATAACAGGGTAATTTAAAATAAACTGGGTAGAGTTAAATTCGTCTGTTTGACTTGTTGTCGCGAGTGCATCAAAATGTTTTCGTTGCGATTGCAGCAAAAACCCTGAGCGGTAATTTATTCAATTTCACATTGTCACAGGCCAAGCTGCTTGGATTGACCTCACGTTACTAAACTATCTTGATAACAAACAAAATCTGAACGTAATATCCTTCCGTAAAAATTCTAACAATTCTATTGGTAAAGAAGTTGTACTACTTTAATGATACAACCGATCAATTATCAAGACAAATCAATGAACGTCGTAGCGTAAGTTTCCATTTTTACGCTGAAATATTCATTCGTTCGTTTTTCTTTTTGCTTTCGAGTCTCTGGTTAAATCGATAATTCGATCACTCGATACATAAAATTGTGCATCGTGTTTCCAACAAAAAAAATCCATAAAGCTACCAGTCCGTTGAATGCAATCCGGAAACTGCATGCAGGTTTGTAGGTGTTTACTGCAAATTTACTATAATTTTTAGTGTTAATTAAACTTTATTAACACCAAGATACAATATTTTATTTACGAGCACCAACTTTAGAAACTTTTAGAATGGTTTAACATTTCAACCAAAATGCTGAATTTAGTTGATTTGCAACTGACCCTTGTTTGACATTTTCTGTATCATTAATAATTAGTATGTTTAGCGAATCGAATTGAAACAGAATCGTATGAAGAAAATTGTAATAATTTATGAATCTTATAACGAACGGCACGTGGGAAGAGATCTAGTCGCGACGCGTGGGATACATTCTTGGATCTATCGTGCGTGCTGTATGATGACCGAGAATTTTTTTTTACTATACGAAAATGGAGTGGAAGACCGGCGTGGTCACATGAACCATGTTTCTTTCAAATTCGATATTAGAAGCCACATATTCTCCATGACACATTTTCTAGGAGACACGAATTGTTGGGTGTCATGTATTCGAATGAATCTTACACCTTGTATTCTAATCAATTATTTTAACTATTATGGATGGAATTTAGATAGGAATATTTTCTTATACAATAAATTTATAAAAGTTATAAATCACTGTTATAGAGTTTAGTGAAAGGGACAGGGAATCAAATCAACCTTTCCGATTCGAATGCCTTGGCATTTTATGTGAATACATAATTTTTAACTATACATGTATATCGCATTTAAGCGATGACGTAGGGGATATCCATACACTTCGATGTAATTAAGTAAATTGATTCAACTAATTCTATTAATATGGAATATTTGAAACAATTACCATAAATTTTCCGTTCCAATTTTTATTTCAATTGAGAAAAAAGCGATCGAATTCTGCCGTGCCATAGGCCATGGCATATCATGTCATTAATCTTTCCATTAATTTTTAAAATAATTCCACAAATGCACGGTCGTCCGTTTCCTCCTGAGACGCCATATCTCTGCACAAAATTTATTTATTCATTAGCGTTCCGTGACACCGCCTGGAATATTGTCACTGTATGCTTTATTAACAAATGTTTCCGTTTTTTATGTAAATTTGTCTCCGTTCTAATATAGTTCTCCGTTGTAATATACTTAGATAACCTTATTTTAACCTAGGGGTTAACTTGAACTTATTAACCAGAAACAATTTCGTTGAAAGTGATCGATATTCAATTTCGTTTTTGTTTGGATTTTTTCATCCAATATACGTCACTATGTATTACATTTGCAGGTATTATTTGCATTTTCATGATACATTTCAAATATGAATGAACATAGACAACATCCATTTGTGAAATTCGCGATGGTCGATAATTAAATTTTATTGTTTTAATATTAATAGATAATATTAAATAAATCACAAAATACAATATTTGACAAAGAGAAATTAAAAACTTACCCCAGTAGAATACATTTTGGTAAATTATTTAAAATTGGAAACATTGGAGACTTATTTTATAGCATGATGGTTTATTTGCGGGATAATAGTTGTATCGATTTGATCAATTACCCATAGATACAGAAAATCCATTAAATCAACTATATAAAAGGTATTTTTATTACATATTAATAGGTTGTGCGTCAAAGTTGTGACTGCAAACAGCAAAAATTCATGTTATACTGTTAATAATTCATAACTAACTGTAACATATTAAATATTAAAACAAGAATTAGAAGTATAACCAGCATTCCTTCACCTCGTCCCGTTTTGATACCTTATGCAGTAAAACACATGACCTAAAACACGTATCCAAGTTTCTAGGCTCGACTCTCTGCAAAGAAGACCGTGGAAAAGAAGAATAGTGGAGCAAGCATCAAGCTCAAGGACCCTGCGATATTCCTTCCAGAATAGTACGTGAGATACACCAATAACACCCTTCGTTTATATTGAGAATTAAGAAATATTCAGGTTAATTTGTAACAAATAGCAATACTGAAAGTTAGTCCTATATGCTAATAATAGTTGGTTGTATGTGATTAAGTTCTTGCTATTTCGATCGGAAATCGGAATCGCTGTAAAATAAGTACTGTTTTTGTTCAGAACTTTCTTGATTTTGTTGTGAATAATTCGAATTTGCAGTGTATGATTTATTAAATAAAATTAATTTTAATTTCAATTATATTTTTTGTATCACCCCTTGTTCTACATACGTTGAAACGAACAAATTTTGGGGTTGCGCAGGCGTCTTTATTCGACGCTAGAAGGTAAATCGCATCATCTTGAATTATAAATGGCATACATCAGTGCCTTACCAACACTAAAAAATATCACTTTTATAAAAAAAATCACAAATTTAAAATTAATTAGATAGATAATATTTATGGACTCGTAAATTTGCTTATCATTCATCCAGCATTCTGATTTCATGGCAATTTAAATCCATTTATGAAATCGCGGCCCGATCGAAGCCCGGCCGAAAAACGCGCAACCCGAAGATAATAAGCGCAAACAAACGGAAAAAATCCGTATGCATTTCATTGTCGAAGAGCGCGGATCCGCGGCGAGTCAGCGACCCTTGTGAGAACGCTTCAACTCGATATTGGCGGAAGAGAGACGCCGCCGGCTGGTGACCGTGCTCCAGAAGGAGACCGCCAACAATTAAGCTCCGAGGAGCGACGAGGAAGTACAAAGAACAAAAGCAACAGACGCGAGGCACTGTAAAATCTGAGCAGAAGGTTTGAAGTTCGATGAGAGCGAAGGAACTTGCGTAAAAGAGAGTCCTTTAATAGTTAACCAATTTATTTATAACTGTACTCTTGATTAATTTTTGACTTCGTACTATTGAGGATTAACTATATTTAAATAATCTGGTTACCCTACAAATGATTGTGTTTTTGAGAAGTATAGGTATGATTTTTTGTTTTGAACATCTAATTTACATAAAAATGCCATAACCATTATCCAATAAAAATAATCTATTGCACAATTCCTTCTTTCGTAAACTTCGTAGGCACAGACACCATACGCCAGAGATCATTGCACTTACCAAACAAAATGAATGTTTAAAAACCATAAATATCTGTAACTGAAGAAACGAAAGTTACTGTAAAAAATATATCTAGACGTAAATGTAAATTGTATCTGCCTTTCTTGTGTTTGATTAATTTGAGTAAATGTTTTAAGAGTAAATACAATTCGAAAAACCGTTCTGGAATCTTAGCGGGAACGGTTGTTGTGATAAATTATGAGGGAAAGTTCTTATGTTACGTGACAAATATGTAACATTTTTTTCTTATAAGTCTTTGAACAATTCATTATAAAAACTACTCACTTTTTAGTACTTACAAATTTCAGATCGATGAATTTATCTCTTTTTGTAGTTATAAACGAATGAACTGTAAAGATAAATGCATGACTTAATTATACTATAATAGAAAATGAGGCATTTGAAATCCGGCCGTTATCGTGGCATAACGGCAAAAGTATTTCCCGTAGACTAAGACAATTCAATCAATATCTATTTTTAGTCTAACAGTGTTAACAAAAAAATATACTGAGCTTATCGACAAAGGAAGTTGCCAACGTTTCAACCTGTTTATACACAAATATAATCTTTAAATTTTCCACATAATTCTAGGCCAGTTGTCACATAAGATATTGAAAATTTATTATTAATTGGTTCATTACAGAATTCCTTTGATACCTACATTACAGGCGACAATGAGATTGCATCAATCAATACAAATATCTCGATCTAAATTATAATTGAAATCTAAATTCAATTCTCATATGAACACGTAACAGCAAATGCATCGACAGTTCTGTTTACATAACACCTCAACATTTAAACATTAGAACAAAGAACGAGAAATAAGTAATACGTTATTATTGGGCAATAATTGTACAGTTACAAGAACGAAGTGAACTGAATCGCATTCCTTTGTTTCTCTGCTTTGGCTAATGCTACGTTAACGGGTGTTTTATCTAATGAGATAACACACAATTGGATAGATTTCTATTTTTACAGGATAATTCCGACGATTAAGTGCACTTGTAATTTTTCCAAATACGTTTCTGCTTAACGATTCCTGACAAAAATGCCATGTATATTAAACGGGTATTGATCACCCATCTAAAGCCACCTACGCTCATGAAATAACACATCGAAGAAACAGAATATCCGACGACCATTAGTATTAAACCATGAACACGGAATAGAATAGCTCGAGTATGTAAGTACATTCGAGTATAAGCAAAGCAGAAACAGAAATTGTGCATCCCGGAAGTGTTAAAGCCTATTGACTTCGAACGGCATCGTTTTACATTCCAATTGAACTAAACTCATAATCGTATGAATAAAACATGGAACTGCCGAGGAAAAATGGGAATCGCTAAACAGGAACAGAGTACCGTTTTTATAATCGACTGTTGGTGATTAGATTGTCCGTGTGCATACTCTTTGCACAAATCCTGAAGAGAAAATCCAGAGGATTTTCGTCTATTTTAAAGAATAAAATGATAAGAATTTTTAGATGATTTTAATAAAACGAAGATATTGCACCAAAAGTGATTTTCAAAGAACAGTCAAAATTCTTGTATGAACTCATTGAATTGTCCAAAAGTAATTATTGTTTCTAGTAAATTTCATCATTAAACAAATATGGTGATGCAATTTATTTCATTTTAAGGTAGGTACACGCTTGTTTCCCAATAAACAATGAAAACGGCGTTCTTGGGTAATTGATCCTATAAAGTAAACCAGTGTTAAATTTATCTAATTTTAGAGAAAAAAGAACGCGTTATCAGCGCGAGAGATCATAAACGAACCGATATAATTTGAGAACCGTGTTGCTTAATTTTTGTGCTCATTGTCGGTTTTGGTTGCCGAAATGCTCCGGCGCTCTCTCGATCTAGATAAAATAGATCTAGAAGCTCGATAAGCACGAAATTGTTCGAATTATTTATTACCGAGCCAGTTCGAAAGTATTACCGCAAAACTGAAATATTCATTCACCTTTATTACCGATACTACGTACGCGTGAATATTTCATTTCGCCGAGGAGAAGGGCCCCGGACGGCCGGGCGTTAAATATTATTTCGCGAATGAACTTTCGCCGGTACACCTCGCGCGGCGTTAGCGCAACGATATCTCTTCCCGCCTCGTCTTTTTGTTTCTACAAGAATTTTTTGCGAAACGAAATGAATTAGGTAACCGCTCGTAACTCGATATTACGTCCCGATCGAGAACAATTACGAATTGTATTGAATTTTCAATGAAGAAAGTTCGCGTTTTACTTGCCTACTTTATTTCGGACGGAGACGGTTTGAGGCGAGCAAACGCAGTGATGAAACGATTTTAGTCGAGACTTGTGAAAGGTCTGAAATAGAAAACAATTAAATAACACCCAATTCATATTCTAATTTCATGTCACTACAATTTTACACTTGATTTCTCTTATAGAGAACTTAATAATTTCTTTAATTAGAGGTTTCTTAATTTTTTTTTAGATTCCATGCGAAACTTCAAAAAGCCATCGAAAAGCCTAGAGCAACCTCTATAAATTTTACCAATTAAACAGTCCTACAGACATCTAATAAATCAAACAAACCGGCATAATTGAGTTTGTTTAAAAGAGGATTAAGCGCATTGTAGCTTCTCAAAATCAAATCGCATAACAACATTCCCCGTACGAGAGCAAACATCGCTGTTGGTTTTAGATGCGCATTAATGGCACAACTCTCGATAATGCTCGGATATTTCCCAAGGAGCGTGCGATACACGGAGATCGTGACGGAGATTGTGGCGACCTAGTGTGAGGTCCTGAGAATCAAACCCGAGCGTATTTATCACAATCTCGACTTTTCTAGTAATTGTCTTCGACGTTTTGTTGTTATTGTTTTATAAACAATTATCGTTAATAATTCGCTGATATACCGGGGGAAACGATCGGCGAGGCGCACGACTCGAACCCGATCTCCGATGGAAATGTAGAAGTTTGTTCTATTGTATGGGATTAATAAAGCGATTAGCTGGAAAAAGACATTGATTTATGATAACTTGCTATTATTGAAGAGTCGTGAGGCAATAACGTTAACCCGACCACTCTTCAGATGCTGTAAATTGGTTAATTTACATGTTGGATCCATCCTAAAGACACTAATTTATTACGAAAATGGTCTAATGAAAAGGCACCTTCGACATTGAATTAACCAAAATTAATAAACCAAGGAAGCTAAACGTCTCGCCTTAACACTTTAAAATTTTATTTGCACATGAAATACGATAACGTGTACGCTAATAACAGTATAATTAAGGAGAAAAAAGAGGATTAGGATGTCTCAGGTTCGAACACCATCGGGCTATGACTTAATAAATAAACTTTAGCGAAATTTAAACTCTAAAATATGGGTAATGGGGATTTTTAAGGCCTTCGAAGAAAAGTCCTGATACATATAAAGTAGCTGCACTATGCCTCATATGATGTAGAAAAACAACCAGTTGCAGAGTATATAAACAACTGATGAAAACGCTCTAATAAAAAGGGCTCCAATCTATGGTTCATGACAATCGGAGTAAAATAGAAGAGCTGACTTATCCAGCACTATACCAGCAGTGGGGAAGAATGTTTTCCCAAATGATCCCAAAGAACTTCTAGAATTCTAGACACAACAACAGCCTTGTAATTCTCTAAGGTTGTTACTCTATGGCCAATGCATATTACTATTTAGACCTCATTGGATATTAGTTGGTTCCAATTTCAAGCTGAAAAGGCAGGGTATTAGGAAATTGCGGCTATTCATGTCTCTCCTTAACATCCATCAAATAAAATACTTCCAGTAGTTGCGAGTGAACTCCAAACTGCAACTTAGGTTCAGGAAACATCGGCAGTACGTAGTTATTAGTGTTTTGAACACACTAACTAATTGGAATTTATCGATTCGTCGATAAATAGAAGAACAACAAGTCGCCTCCGAAGCGAGTACGTGCACCTCTCGCAGAAATTTCCCCGTCTAACGTCTACTCTCTACAGCTCTCCAGCCGATCGCGTCGCCCCGGAGCCGGAGGAGCGAAAGAGAAAGAGGCGTGCAGAGAGGCATCTTCGTCGAGGCGGGCAGGCTGAGCGCGTCGATTGATTCAATCGGTACGCGCCACAACGGCACAAGAGACGACACCGAATTCGACCCCCGCCCCCACCCCCGCCGGCGACCGCATTCCAACCAGCGTTGCCAACTACAAACAGTTTACAGATTCATTAGTAATATGCCACAAACTCCCGGCCACGCCGAGAGATTATCTGCGGCTCTGCGGATGGGAGTACGAGATGGAGGACGGCGTTGCCGTAACCTCATCATTAACCTCTTTAACCGTTTTATGATTAATTCCCTTCATTTCGATAATTATAGTAGTCGTAGTCGATGGGTTCCTGGTCGTTCCTAAAGCTTTGCCCTTAGTAAAGGTATAGTTTACCCAAAGGTATAGAAACAGATATTTTTTATTATAATAACTTCTACATTACACTAAATACATCTGCATCTACATCTAAATGAACTCAGTGATCTATTAGTGGATGACACTCCCATTATCATCCCAACCATGACCATCAGCTATTATAGTAAACATATTTCGCAACTATTAAATTGTCCAACATGTCTCGTGTGTAATGTACCGGTGATCGGTTTATGGATTAATCGATTGGATTTTGCGGTGTAATCGAAATCGATGGGTTATCAGCGTTCAGGAGGATGCTGGGAGGAGCGGCAACGCCGCCTCGGAAAATCGAGTCAAGTGGTAGGGAGGGACTGTGTGGTGGCATTCTCACAGTCACAGTTATAGTTGACCGTAAATGTACAACGCAAATGTAACAATAAATTTTTGGGCGGAGGATTGGGGCAAATTTGGTAGCGGCTGAGGCTCCGGGACTATTGGAGTGGGCCCGCGTGGGCGGATTGATTTCCTAAATAATATAATCGAAATGATCCGGTTTGATTTAGCTACCCTCAGTCGTTAAAAACATAGGCGTTTTATTTTGAAAAGCCTTTATAAGGGCAATAAGTTAAATCAGTTAAATCAAGTTAATTCTTGATGTCCTTGTTAGGGTTAGTCTTTTTAGAAATTTTGATTCACATGTCTTAAACAATTTTTATAAATTCTTTCCTGCATGCATCTTCATTTTTGTTTCACTGCGCCTAGCAATATCTCCAAAGAATTTATTACGTTTTCCGGATTTGTCTGCTAGGTTTGCCTGAAGACCAAAATAATGAGTTCTTCAAAGTACGCCATTAGTTAGTCAACTAATTATTTTTCTTATCTCAACGTATTTCTTAAATAACTAATAAAATCGACTTTTAAGAGAGCTCGCTGCAAAATTATTTATTTCATATAAAAAATAATCGATAATTATAATAAAATAGGTATTTACAGACTCTTTATTTCTCTGATTTATGACTGAAAAGTTATTTTTGTCCGTCATTTCGCGTACTCCAATCAACCTACATAATTTCCCTAAACTTTCACAAAAATAATCATTGTTTTCACTGGAATAATAGAAAAAGCGATGAGCGCTAGAATTTCTAACGACCCGATAGATAACGGATATTTAAAATTTAATAAGCAGCGCGTGCAAATATGCACCACTGACACGGATATGCGATGATGGTGCATCGATTTCGGTACTTATTTTTCACTTCCGATGATCACAAAATCAATAAATTCCCATTAGATTATTCCACGGATTATTGTTATTGGAAATTAAATTATAGTTGCCTAAATTTTATCGTATTCCACCTTTTATCACCTATATTGTGTAATTTGTTTTGTTTATAACATATAAATTTTATTAGATATTCCTCGTAGCATATCTGCGATACGCGGTTGATTTAACGGGATAATTAATTTTTCGACATTGGTATAAAATTGCGATTTACATACAAAGCAGGAATATTAAAAATCGGTGAGCAATCGATACAATTCAGCGATTATGACCTCATATGTACCTATTTTGTTGGAATAATAACAGCGTAATGATTATTTTGATGAGTTCATGTTATCATCTCGGAATCGGTTTGAAATAAGCAAATGTTTAATTAAATGACGGGCTCTTGCCCTACCCAGTTGCGTCATTAAGCGACAAATGGTATTATTCGATTGAAAAAAGCCCGCCACTGAGTAAATCTATAGCAAGAAAGAAAGCGGAAGAATTTCGAACGTTACGCAACCGACTGTTGGTTTCTGTATCGAAGTAGGACGTAAGTCACAAAATTAGGTAATAGACGACTGGATGGTGGTTGAGCAGACACATCGGGAAGTAGAAAGATAACGAAAATATCGAATACGTAATGAAGAGAAAAGAGAAAGAGGAAGCGAAGGTCATTGTAGTGCGTGGGAGTGACCGGAGTATGCCCCGTGCTCAAAACGATTTCGGTTCATTCAAGAATTCGAGAAGACCGACCCGACCGGATAATACAGGATGCCTTACAGAAAAAAAACCTTATAATAGTGTAGTACCTACAAATGCATCTACGAGTAGTGAATAATATCGAATCGATTCGCTTTCAAGAAATATCAGAAATAAATTAAATATTTGCTTACTCGAAATCAATAAAATTGAATTGAAATAGGATAAGTTAGAGAAAAGTAATTTAAGTTTTTCAATTAGGTAGGTGTTTAATTTCATTTATTGACTCTTATTGTTTTCTTGACATTTTATTTTAGTACGAGTACCTAATAATATCCATGTATTTCAAAGTTTTCAACATTATCTTAAATGTTATTTTTGATTACTGAAAGTTTCTTTACGAAATATGGGAAATATTACTTATTCTCAATGCAATAGACTGAAACGGAAAATTAATAAAAATATTGTAAGAAGTATTTGTACCTACACAGAAAGAAAAATAATTTTCTTCAAATATTCTTAAATAAACGTGAATTGAAAGTATAATCAAATAATTTATTCAGCTTTAATTAGTGCTGTTCTCACCGGTAAATAATTTAATCCACAATTGTCATCATAAATTGATACGCTATTACACACCTAGAATAATTGCTTCCAAATGATATAACCAATTATATCACGATATTTTAGGAATCTAATTAAATTTGAGTCACTCTTTAGATGCACAATACAAGTAAAATAGATCATGCACACATTTACAGTAGGAGATTATCTGTTATTTTTGTATACACATATTCTCATCAAAAGAATAATATTCCTCTTAATAGAAATAAAACCAAGTTTTATTAACGCACAGTTACAAATTATATATGATAATCTGAGATAGGTTCTATTGATAGAAGCGTCCGAGCGTTTATATCTTTAACTCGTAAGTCAAGATTACGCGGCTCTTATGACTTTTGCCTCCATAGGAATGATACCCTAATGACCTTTCGCTTTTATTCTTACGTTTCAATCTACACTAAACGCCTTCATTACCACAACATAAGGTGTTGTGTTTGCAAGTTTATTTGAAGCGTATTAATTAGAGATATTTAGATCGTTGCTTCCAGAAGAACGGGTCGATGAAGAAACGTTCTATATTCCTTGTGTTTATGCTTAGCGTCTACGTATACACATCACCTTAAGTAATCGCCGACCAAATGATTATTTAAATTAAACCTCTTCAGTAAGTTGGACGATTTAATAGGCGGTCGACTTTAAAATTATTACCATCGCAGCGATGCGATTCGATGGATCGAGAAAAGAAAGACCCCGACGAGTCCTTCGGATGCGACTACGCCGCGGTCTGGCCCAGCAGAACGCGTACGTAGGTCCGGTCTGCTGGAACAACCGGAGCAACAGACGGACCGAAGACCGTACCGGAGCGCACCGCACCGCACCGGAGTAGCGTATCATTCCGAGCGTCATCCGAGTGGAACGATTGTATGTATACGTACACACAACCACAACACACTGGCAGTCACGCCTGACACGGTCACTTATGGAGGTTATGCCATCGTCGTCACCATCATCATCACCACTTACTTACCATTTATTCAACACTTTCGACTGGCAGAGGCGCGCGTTCTGGAAGTTAGCTCGTTTACTTTGCGACTACTCTTAGAAATAACTGTATAATCTACTACAAACTTATCTTACTTTTTATATAATACAAATAAAAGATTATTAAATATTTAGTAGTTACAACTACAACCATAAGGAAGGAGAATCAACAATATTGCAAGGAAGGCATAGTAAAGGCATTCGTGATACGTTATATTATATTATAAAAGACCAGTTAAAACAAGTCTTATCGAAATTAGGAAAGCTTAGTTTTGATGTGAAACCAGAAGGCGATATCTGAACCGTTCAATATCCTTTCCGGCGTCTCCAATTAGAACAACTTTCCGTCGAACGTATCTCGAGTCTTAATAAATTGATCCTTAATTCTTTCGAATTATCAAAAGCGTTTATCTCGAATTCCTGAACTATTTACTCAACAATTTCTCGTTTTCGTAGTCGCAGCCGTGGTAAGGGGGCACATTAACCTCTATCAGAAACAACTCGCGTTTCGACCGTAGTAGGCGGCGTATTTCTGTACAGGCTCGGGTCAATTGCACCGCATTCGAAGCGTTTAATCTTCGATCATTTAATTGTTTTATTAGCCACCTGTTGTTATTGATACTTCTATTGTTTATTCGTTGATCTCTTTTGAAATACATATATTTTTATGTCCTGTATTTTCAAACACATTTATTTCTAATTTCCCATTGTCGAATTATTTACATCACACACCATTTTTTTTAGTTCCGTGCATATGTTTTCTACTCGTATTCCTACCATCAGCGACAATTTCCCTTTTAACCTTTAAATAATTTGACACAGCTTTCTTCTTATGGTTTATTGTGTTTGATTCAAGTTGTTCCAAATACCAATAGATTAAAATCCTAACACCTGGTGCAATCGGCCCGACTCTCTCATTACCGACAGGTATTTTTCTATTACTCGGACAAACAGACCATGACAAAAGAATTAATTCTTCAGGAGATCTCAGTTCACACACACTGACAATAAAATTACGGTGTGGCAGAGCCATTTAAATATCGGAGTTCTCTAGTTTCTTTTTCTCCTTTTTTTTTTGGTGCGTTTTGTCTAACTATTATTTTCAATGGTCATTACACCGTGCGAAACGATCGCTTCATAGATGGCTGAGAATTAGGGGGGCGTGAGTATACTAACTGAATTTAGTTAGTCGAGTTTTTTTTTTTGGAGGTTTGGGTTATTAGGCGGTAATTATAACGCAGGTTGGGTAGGAAAAAGTTAAATAATCAGTCGCAGGAATCCGGCGAAAAATCGCTTAATTCATCATTTCACGCGGTTCTCGTTTCGTTGAAATTTAGTATTCGACGTATATTGTCTCGATTTGAGCGAGATCCGCGGCCGGGAGGAATGCCTAGTAAAGCAAATATAAAGATTTCACATGGAGATACAATGTAATTCGTGAGTGAAGACCAACTTATGTCCGTTACTCGCTACAAACAAGAGTCATTTCGGTGCCGTATATCTTAGCTCTAGGTCGTAGGTGAGACGATAAGTTCAAAACATCAATTACGAGAAATATTCTTTGTAAATAGGTGTAGGATATACCTACTCGAGCGCAGTTTTTTGTTACACAACTCTCTCCATAAATAATAATAACTCGAGAATACGTTAATTGGTTTGAAGAATCTTTAGCTACATCTTGATAATAGTTTGAATATCATAGGAAGTTTTAATTTTTATTTATACTCTTCCATAGAATTTTTTGTTATTCTACACAATTTAATGTCGTGTCTTTCTCCTTTATGAAACCATTAATATAACAATGTTCCATAAAGCGTAAAAATGATAACACATTTAATGATTTAACATTGACATTGAAACTTAATTTATTTTACGGAAGAATTTATGCATTATGTTTTAGATTTTATTGTTGACGACGTAACTATTATCGTTATCAAGGAAGTGTTGCGCAAAGGCGAACAAAATGAAATACTAAAAATACTGTTATCTAATAAATTGAATATCAATAAATTCCTATTTAAGTGAGTATTGTTTCCGTTTAATTTTCCTGCTTCTTACAATTTTTCTAAACTTTAGAGTCTATATACTACCTAGTTCATCTATTATAAATCCTCAATAGAAACACTTGTTCTCGATTTAACTATACCTAATACATTCGAATGCAAAATTCTGCAGGCCAAGGTAATAATTTCAATTTAAAGGAATTATCGCAATCTACCAGCTCTGTTACATAATTTAATTAACGAATTTTTTTGTACGTATAGGTCACGTAAAAGTTGAAGAAGTTAATTCCATTTTGTATAGGATAGATAGATGTGGTAATCCGATGTCGGTATACAATTATTCGTTATTTGTCAATGAAATTCGAAACGAAATGAAAACATCGGATCGTCTTGGCACGATTCCGTTGCAAAATCGATGGATTGTTAGCGCATTGTTATGATGCAGCCGAGCGTGCATTCGTTGCGTAGATTTTCCTTCTATTTGTTTACTGATTGCGCCAAAAAAAATGGAAATTTTTGAAACGCTTTTCGGAATCAACAAATGTTTATTTATGTATGTGCGAGCGCAAGCGAAAAAGATGATAGGAAAGAAGAAAAAAATTATTCAGTATTGATCAGAATTTTGATGGTTTAAATCAAGCTCAGGGTTGAAATACGTTATACTAAATTATTTCTGGAAAGTTATTGGTTAGAAAAATAAGAAAAATTTTATGGTACAACGAGGAAAATTTGAATAGTATAGTTTAGAAGTCTGGAGAATATCAGATATCGAAATGTAATAGTGATTAAACTATAATTTTGGAACCTAAATTATTTCGATTTATAATCATCTTAGTTTAATAATAAATTAGTTCTTAGAATAGTATAAATCACGGTAATACTAAATTTTAGGAGCTTAATTTTGAAGCGACAACACATATTCTTAAAACATAGGTAATGCCCACAGAAGATTAAAATCTTCTTGTTTTTCAACATTGATAACACAAGCGAGCCTTCTTTTTTTAACCGATGCACCAGTAACAAGTTCACTAACATTTCGCAGTATATCAAATCGTCGCCGAGCAAGAGCCTACGAGCGCTCGATATCTCGTGGGTGTGAAAAGAAAAGAGATAAACGCCAGCCATAACATTTATTCCAAACGAGTTTGTTGCTTGTCAATGAAATGCAACCTTGCAACTTCTCGGTAATGTTCACAATGCAATTATGAGATCACTGTGGTCTGCATGACCACGTGCGTCACGTCACTTATTCGCATATATTCCAGAGTTTGTCGCCTTTGGGAACGCTGAATTATCCCATTCGAACGCGATTTACTGCCTTATGATGTATCGAGAATCGCGAGAAAAAAGTTCCTTCCGCTCTCCTTGTCGACAATGCTCGATCCTTTCGGGCAAATTGGCCTGAATCATAATAATTGCATTCACCGATGACTAAGACTTAATTCAATTTAACCGGTCGTGTAAATGATATTTAGCTAATTCGCGAACTATTCAAGTACGTGTCAGTACCGAATATGACCTAAAAAATTATCCTTTCGGTTCGGTTCATCGCCATTCACTTGACCTGCCGTACCATTATGACCTTGTGACAATACAACTAATTTGCACAGAGATTGATAGATCGATACAAATTTTTTACAGGAGCGGATTGACTATATTATACTCCATAAAATCGTTAATTCTCATTAAACGAATTTGAGATAAGCCTACCCACATATTGAGAATATATCTGTTGAATGCGAATTGAATCTGTTTCATGAATGTGTTAATTAGACGACTTAACAAATACGGCAACTTAAATTAACCATCTTTGGTAAGAGCGGCGGAAAAATAATCAGTTACAACAAAAAAAATGTTATTAATATTCTGGTGAAGTCTCTATAACTTTATGATGCGTTAAATTCGTGTTAATAGGTTTATCTTTTACAACCTTATTTGCAAGAATGATGCGATTGTTCATTGAGGAAAATTATCACGTCTTCGACTGTATCTCTTTCGAGTTTTATTCGGTCTGACCCAGTTATTACTTCGCCTTTTTGTGAAATTATATTTTACTTTTTCTTGGGAGAAAAATGATTTGCTTGAGAAGTTAACTGTTGATAGTTTGAGGAGAAAGTTATTAATGTTTGAAATCGCATTTAGATGATTTTTATTTTCTTCTTAGATCGATCACGTTAACAAAATCTTATTAACAATATATGTAGGTAATCAAAATAATCAGTTTAACATGTATAGGTGATATTGTTTTTATTTCAATGCTTATATTATCATGTGTATAGGTGTATTTTCATTATAGCAAGTAATATTTTCATTTTCATGTAGGTATTAATATAGTGACAAGTTGCAACATTCCTCAACCAGGACATATTGCTTTTGATACAATTTTTATTAATCCTCCCGTATGTCTACATCACGGAAGCGAATTCCATAATACGTGCAAATCTCGTAAATATCAACCGACTGGTTAATATTTTATTTCATATAGGCAGGTACTTTAGCAATCTCGGCACGTATGAATAAAAATTATTTTTCTCAAACGACCTATCATATTAATTCCTGCAACGCATTCCGATATACCGATCAAATTTCCATTTCGCGCTCGGCGACCGTTGCCTCACAAACACAATTTCTCGATTAAACAATGTCGGGTGTGCTCGATGGTGGAAGGTTTTTATCTACGTAAATAGTAACCTATATGTTTTTTTATAAAACATTTTATGTTATAAACTCTCTTATTCGACATACCTATTACCTATTATTGATTGATTGGCTACTGGTGCTTTTGTCTTCTTCTTCATAGTATCATGGTATCCTTGGTATCCTTCTCCAACTACCTCAGTTTAAGATCTCTACTTTTTCACAGGACTTTTCAGCCTTCTCCAAAGACTTCAATATCTTCTTCAGTTTGACAATGAAACCCAGTCCCTTCTTGCTAAACATTACTTTCTTGTAGGTGCTGTAGGTTCGGAAATATTATTACAAATGTTATCTTTATCGCGGTTTCATGCTAAAGAATTGTGCTCTTGAATGTTGTTGAATCTCCATTTCGGATCTGTTTCTGCATGAAACGCT